TTTAACAGAAGCAGAAGAGATTAAAAAGAGGTGGCAAGAATATACAAAAGGATTATACAAGAAACAAGAAAGACCTTAACATCGCCAATTAATGTCACTGATCTAGAGCTAGACACTCTGAAGAATGAAGTCAAGTGGGCCTTAGGAAGCACTACTAACAATAAGGCTAGTGAAGGTGATGGAATTCCAGCTGAGCTATTTAAAACCCTAAAACATGATGCTATTAAAATGCTGCACTCAATATGCCGGCAAATATGGAAAACACGACAGTGTCCACGGGATTGGAAAAGATCAGTTTATGTCTCAATCCTAAAGAAAGGCAATGCTGGGGGCAGCTAGGTGGCACAGAGGATAGAGCTCCAGCCTTGGAGTCAGGAGGACCTGAGTTCAAATGTGACCTCAGACCATGACACTTAACTAGCTGTGTGACCCTGGGCAAGTCACTTAACCCCAACTGCCTCACCAAAACAAACAAACAAACAAAAAAAAGCAAAAAACAAAGGCAATGCTAAGAAATGTCTGAATTATCAAAATATTGCACTCATTTTGCACACCAACAAGGTTATGCTTAAGATTATGCAAGCTAAGCTTCAGCAGTATGTGAATGGAAAATTACCAGCTGGTTTTTGAAGGGGCAGAGGAACTACAGACCAAATTGCCAACATTTTCTGGATTAGGGAGAAAGCAAGAGAGTTCCAGAAAAACATCTACTTCTGGGGCAGCTAAGTGGTGCAGTGAATAGAGGTCTGGCCTGGGAGCCAGGAGGACCTGAGTCCAAATCCGGCCTCAGATACTTGACACTTACTAGTTGTGTGACCCTGGGCAGGTCATTTAATCCCGACTACCTCACCAAAAAGCAAAAATAAACAAAAGAATATAAAAACATCTACTTCTGCTTCACTGATACACTAAAGCCTTTGACTGTGTGGATCACAACAAAATGTAACAAGTCCTCAAAGAGATGGAAGTATCAGATCATCTTACTTGTCTTCTGAGGAACCTGTAAGTGGGCCAGGAAGCAACAATTAGAACTGAATGTAGAACAAGGGATTGGTTTAAGATTAGACAAGGAGTACAACAATGCTGTATATGGTTACCTTATCTGTTTAACTTATATGCAGAATATATCTCATGTGAAATGCCAGGCTGGATCAATCAAGAGCTGGGAGCAAAGTTGCCTGAACAAATGTCAACCACCTCAGACATGCAGACAACACCACTTGGATGGCAGAAAGAAAAAAGAATTAAGAAATTCCTTGATGAAAGTAAAAGAGAAGAATGCAAAATCTAGCTTGGAAAAAAAAACCCCTAAGATCTTGGCAAGTGGTCCCATAATTTCCTGGCACATAGAGGGAGAAGAAATGGAAGCAATGTCAGATTTTATATTCTTGAACTCAAAGCTCACTTCAGATGGCAACTGCAGCCATGAAATTAAAAGACACTTGGGGCAGCTAGGTGGCACAGTGGATAGAGCATTGACCCTGGAGTCAGGAGGACCTGAGTTCAAATCTGGCCTCAGATACTTGACACTTACTAGCTGTGTGACCCTGGACAAGTCACTTAACCCCACTGCCTAGCCAAGAAAGAAAGAATGAAAGAAAGAACGAACAAAAGAAAGGAAGAAAGAAAGGAAGGAAGGAAGGAAGGAAGGAAGGAAGGAAGGAAGGAAGGAAGAAAGAAAGAGAGAGAGAGAGAGAGAGAGAGAGAGAGAGAGAAAGAAAGAAAGAAAGAAAGAAAGAAAGAAAGAAAGAAAGAAAGAAGAAAGAAAGAAGGAAAGAAAGAAAGAAAGAAAGAAAGAAAGAAAGAAAGAAAGAAAGAAAGAAAGAAAGAAAGAAGGAAAGAAAGAAAAGAAAGAAATTAAAAGACACTTGCTCCTTGGAAGGAAAGCTAGAGCTAATCTGGACAGCACAATAAAAAGCAGAGATATCACCTTGCCAAAAAAGGTCTATGGTTTTTCCACTAGCAATGGATGGCTATGAGGGTTGGAGCATCACAGAACCAACACTTTTGAATCATGGTGCTGGAGAAGATTTTTGAGAGTCCCTTGGATAGCAAGGAGATCAAATCAGTCAATACTTAAATTAATTCAGGCCATTCACTGAAAAGTCAACTACTGAAACTGAAGCTTAAATACTCTGGTCACATAATGAGAAGACAGGTCTCACTGGGAAAGCCCCTGATTTTGTGAAAGATTGAAGGCAAAAGGAAAAGGAGATGGCAAAAGATGAGATGGATAGATAGTGCCATGCAAACAATTAACATGAACTTGGACAGACTTCAAGAGAGAGTGGCAAATAGAAGTGCCTGGCATCCTATGGTTCATGGAGTCATGAAGAGTTGGACATGACTGAACAACTGAACAACAAAACAACAACCAGATTCTAGGACTTGGTTTCCTACAGAGGAAGACTGGCCACCCTTCCAATCCTAAGGAACAACACACTGTGGAGAAATTCCTGGACCAGTAGAGGAATTTTTGGCCCAAGGAGCAAATCTGGACTCTGTCCTTCACTGGTAATGTAAGTTATATGTGGATTGTGGTGGTCTGGAAGACTGCTGATGTCAAATACTTTTAGGTCATAAGAGAACCTCAGGGTAGTATTTTAAATCTGCAAGACAGTAAAAGTCCCTAAGGGGATGTAAGGCTCAATGGAAAGAAGAAGGCTGCTTTAACTTTCCAGCAATCCTGAATTATTTCTGGGGAGGAGTATATGTGTTTGGTAAGAATCCAGGATATTGCTCTAAGTTAGAACTCTATGGTATATGGGTCCCTGAGACAGGAGACTCACTAGAGGGGTGAATTACTTTACTCTATAAGAACTTCAAGTTCTTTCCTCTTGACAAGGCACTGGCAGGGGAATGGAGTTAACTCCAGAATGGCAGATGGGGGTTGTCCTCTTTATGAGCTCTGGTGTGCACCTTATTTTTTTTGTAGGATTAAAAAAAAAGCCTCATATATTCAATATATTGTTAGTCTGAATTCTTGCATGGGCCATTTTTCTTTTGCTATGGAAACTTAGAAATGAACCACATTCTGATGTTTCCAGAGGAAGAAATCCTTCAAAGGATATAAATAAAAAACAAAGCATGACTATTGAGAAGCTCCTAAGACTGAACCAGGTCGGTGTAAAACCAAAGCTTTGTTGCTGGTCTACATTTAGGCTAAATAAAAGATATACACTGGTTTCCTTCATTCACATGCTTATTAACCCCCTCAAAGAAATCACACAGTTAATGAAGCATGATTTCCCCCCTCAATATGTGTTCACTCATCCCAGATCAAGCTCTCCCCTTGCAGTCTCCAAACTAGAACATGATTATAAAGAATATTATCTTACATTTGTCTTGTCCTTTAAATTTTCAAAGGGATACACATATTATATTATCTCATGTGATCCATACAACAACCCTGGTAGCCTGTTAGGAAGGTTTTATTATGGTCATTTTATAGATAAGGAAAGTGAGGCACAGACAAGTTTTAAATAGTACTGACACTAACTACGACTCCTGACCTAAGTTTTGCCACATCTACCAGCTGCCTCTCAATTACTGCCTCTACCCAAGGACAGTGATCACAGTTTCTCAATGAAGAAATTGAGACATATAAGCAAAGGATATTTTTTTCACAAAGCTTCATTAAAAGTATGTTTTCTACTGGGAAAAAATTTTTACAGCAAGTTTCTCTGATAAAGGTCTCATTTTTCAAATATTTAGAGAACTAAGTCAAATCTATAAGGACAGGAGTCATTCTCCAATGCTAAATGGTAAAAGGATACGAACAGCCACTTTTCAGAAGAAGAAAGCAAAGTTATCCATAATCATAAAAAAGTTCTAAATCACTGATTAGAGAAATGCAAATTAAAACAGTTCTGAGGTAGCACCTCACACCTATCAAACTGGCTAATATGAAAAGGAAAATGACAAATATTGGAGGGGATGTGGAAAAACTGGGACACTAATGCACTGCTGGTGGAGCTGTGAATTGATCCAACCATTCTGGAGAACAATTTGGAATTATGGTCAAAGGGCTATAAAATTGTACATATTCTTTGACTCAGAAATATCACTACTAGGTCTGTATCCCAAAGAGATCAAAGAAAAGGAAAAAGTCCTATTTGTACAGAAATATTTATAGCAGCTCTTTTAGTGGTGGCAAAGAATTGGAAATTGAGGAGATGCCCATCAATTGGGGAATGGCTTGAACAAGTTGTGGCATATGCCTGTGATGGAATACAACGGCGCTACAAAAAATGATGAGCAGAATGGTTTCAGAAGAACCTGGGAAGACTTATATGAACTGATGCAAAGTGAAATGAGCAGAACCAGAAGAACACTGTACCTAGTTAGTAGCAATACTGTATGATGATCATCTGTGAATGACTTGGTTATTCTCAGCAATATAATAATCCAAGATAATTCCAAAGGACTTATGATGAAAAATGTTATCCACTGCCAGAGAGAGAACTGATAGAGTTGGAAAGCAGACTGAAGCGCATTTTTTTATACTTCATTTTTCTTTGGGCTTTTTTGGGGTCTGTTTTCTTTTACAACATGGCTAACATGGAAATACATTTTCATGACTGCACATGTAGAACCTATATCAAAATGCTTGCCTTCTCAAGATGGAGGAAAGGAGAGAATTTGGAACTCAAAATTTACAAAAAAATGTTAAAAATTATTTTGACATGTAATAGGAAAAAATATATAAATTTTTTTAAAGTATGTTTTCTTTTCTTAGAAATGTCCCTGAAAACCCAGGATGTGTCATCATTTACCTACAGGGTGACTGAGTGGTTTTAAATTAAAATGTTCAACGCTAGCATGCAAATAGTAACTCTGGTTTCAGAAACCCGAAACTATATCAATATATATAATCTTAACACCTACAAATGATTTTTGGTTTTCTTATAATTACTCAAATAGGTAGATAATTCTATTATGCCTCAATTTTTAAAAAATTAAAGCCATTAAGTATAGCAGAGAAAAAATTCCACACTTACCTATAGCACAGTGTAAAATCTAGAAGAAAAAATAAAAAAGGAACATTAGTAAAAGCTTTGAGTAAAGAGATTTTTTTGTTATTACCAGTAACAATTAAATGAAAGACTATGATGCTCCATTTTAAGAAGTGGCTATCGGCTGATATATGATTCTTGTTCAGACAGCTTTCAAAAAAATTAGAAAGAACACTGATTAGTTTGGAAGATTTACTAAGGATTAACCCTTTTCTGTGTTCTTTTAATTTCAATTCAACTCTCTGTAGTATACATGCATATTACAATTGCACAATAATTATACTGAGGTACTTCATTTCTCACCCACTGATGTCACAGAAAATCTGTCAAGAACATTAAATTCAATTCAATGCAAACATAATAAAGCACTGAAATAGTTCCTACCCTCAGAGAGCTTATATTCTACTGGAGACAAAACAGATACTCAGATAAGTAGACCCCCCAAAAAAAATCTGAGGAAGGAGACAATACTAACAACTGGGGGATCAGGGAGGGTTCCCAGAGGAACCAGCACCTAAATTGAGCTTTGAAGGAAGATAAGAGGTATCTGAGATGTAGAGATGAGAAGTATCATAAGACTTAAAGCCAAAGGTGACCTTAGAGATCAAGTCTCAATTTTACAGATAAAGAAAGTGAGTTACAGAGAAGTTAAGTGATTTGCTTAAGGTCACCTTAGTAATTATTGAGATTTAAAGCCAAGTTTTTTTACTCCAAATCTAGTTCTCCTTATGCTACACCACACCACACCACCAGGTATGGAGGACAACCTGCACAGAGCACAGACTTCACGTACTGGTGAATGGTCCAATTTTGCTGTTATGTAGTCTGAAATAGGGCTGGAATTCTAGGTAGAAGCTAGATTGCAGAGGACCTTGAACGTCAGGCTGGGGTGTTTGTATTTTATGCTAGAGCCAATAGGGAGCCATTGAATGACATAGTCAAATGTATGCCTTCAGAAGATCACTTTGGCAACTGAGTGGCAGACAGACTGGGGAAGAAGAGACTGGAAAGCACAATGACCAAGTGAGAAGCTATTACAGTAGTCCAAGTGAATGATGATGAAGAACTGAATTACAGTGTGAGTGGAGACACGAGAGATGGACGCTAGAGGTGCCATGCAGAACTGACAAGACTTTATAACTAACTGGATCTGTTGGGTGAAGGAAAGGGAAAATTAAAATATGACTCTGAGGATGTGACCCTGAGGTGACTAGAAACAAGGAGGTTTGGAGAAGAAGCTAGCAGGGACATATACTGAGGAAGTTATAATCATTTCTGGTTTGAATAATTTTGTATTTGAAATGCTGAAGGATTTCCAGGTAAAGATGTCCAGTGGACAGCTGAAGATACCAATTCCAATGGCAGCGGGAAACTTTATATAAAGAGATTAATCCTAGATGTGCAGATTTAGGAGTCTTCTCCAAAAGAACAAGAACAGATGAAATCATTAACGGAGAGAATATAAAGAGAGAAGAAGGTCTACCATTGAGCCACAAGGATACACATGCTTAGGGGCAAGAAATGGACACTGATCCAGCAAAGTTCAGCACTGCATCTATTACATGATACTGCTCTTCCTCCTCAATCACTCTTGTACTGGCAAATCCCAGGACCTGGTGTGCAAGCTCCTAGGACCTTAAGATTTAGAATCTGAAAGTTATCTACTTCAATCCCCTCACTTTATGGTATGTGACTTAACCAAGGTCACACAGGTACTAAATGGCAGATCCAGCCCTCTGACTCCAAATCCAACACTCTTATTTAATTTATTACACTGTCTTCCCTTCTTTCCCTGTGCCCCAATCAACCCAGACATTGAAAAGAACAAAATTATCAATCAGTTTATCAAAGCACCTAGTTTTAAAACTGTCCCTGCCCCTCTTCCCTGACTTCCCAATATATAAAAGACAAAATATAAAACACAAAAATAATAACTTTGCATTAAATGAATAAGGGTTTTAAAAAGCAAGGAAATGATTCTACCTTCTTGTTGACAGGAAGACACTGAGAACTAGGAGTACCCTTAGGCCTCTGTGTAAAGGACTTTCCTACAAATGGACCTATTATTCACATGTAATCTTTAAACCATATACCAACTTTCTATTTTTGTATTAACAAAGGCATAAAATTTCATGTGACACTGAGAGGATCAGAGATTTACAGCAAGAAGGGAAAACAGATATCATCTAGCTCAACGACCTTCTTTGCCACTACCTTCCTCTAATTTCCTGGATTCCCAAATATACAGACACTCAATTTCCATTTCTGGAAAAAATATACGTTTTTCTTAGACCTCCTCCTACCCCCAGTCAATTTTTCCTGCTCCTCAATAACAGTAGGTCATTCTTTCTGTTGTATGAAAGGTGGACTTACTACAAAGAACTACGGGGAACATAAAAACAGCCTAACACAACAGATGGGTCAAGTTTACAAGTTCTAAAGGTTTTTATGTCTTAGTTCTGGTTGTAGGCACAAATTACAGCAAACTAGGCAGCTTCCTTTCTTAGCTCCCTCTTTCTTCCAGTTCTGACATTTTCCTGCTAAGTCTTACCTTTTATAAGAGCTCAGTTTTAACATATTTGCTATAGATTTGGTTGGCATGGCTATTGGTGTCTCAACGTTCTGCTCCAGAAACTTAAACTTAAATTTAGGTACCTCTCCCCTAGAGTATATCCTTCTGCAGAATACAAGAATTAAATTGGATACTATCAACCCCAGTATCATCCTGGGCATGCTGACCTCCTGCTTCTCACATTACTTTTCTCAAAGGTATCATCTCCTTGGGCTTCAGGATTTTACCCTTCTTCAATCAACCTCTATGTTTCTGCCCCTGGAAAGTCTCTCCTCTTAACCTGCCTTCTCTGTTCCTAGTTGGTTTGCCTAAAGTAAATTTTACTGGATTATTCAGGTCAGTCCTGTCTTTTATTTATCTCTGCTTAACTACCTTATTGCACTCTGTCCCATCTTCCTACCGGAAGTTGAACTTTGCCCCTGAGACTCTGGGCTCTGATAGATACCTTTCACCTTTTCCCTCCTGGAACCAGGCCTTCATACCAACCATTTCCAAACCCCGCTGCCACACAGACCATTGCTCAACACCTGTCTTTCTCCAGTGGGTTCTCCTTAACAGGTTGCTATTAGATTGAAAACTCCTTAAAGGCAGGGACTATCTTGTTGGCTTCTATTTGTATTTCCAGCACTTAACACAGTACAGAGAATGCAGTAAATGCTTAATCAATGCCTTCATTTATCCCAGCAGAAGGAGCACTTAAAGAAATCCCCTTCTCTAAGCCTCTATTATGTAATTTCGAGTCAATCTCTCATTCTAATATTTTCTTTACTCTGCTTCTATCTTTTTGGTCCACCCACAGCTTCCCAATTTCACTGGCCAAACTAAGATGACTAAAGCCAATAGGAATTGATTGCTTTTCCTTGTTTTCAATTACTGGCTTAATCCTATGGTAATGAGTATCATTTGGACCCTGACACTCATGGGATAGATCCTTGGACCATGTTGTAATATTAATAACAAGGCAAAATGTATAGGAAATATAAAATCAACACATTCTCACTCCAACCCCCTACATAACTGGGCAGAAAGCAACTCACCAGTCACTTTTTTACCTTATAACATTTGTGACAGACTCAAATCCATCTCAGTTTTGGAGCACAGCATTATAAATTTCCCATAAATTTCAAACTATGACTAAGTTTAAAGCAGTGATGGATAGAGCTGACCTTGAAGCCTGGATTCAATTACCACCTTTGACACACGATGCCTGTGTGACCCTGGGCAAGTCATTTAATAGTCTCAGTTTGCTCATTTGTAAAACAGTGCTGATAATGGCACTTACCTCAAATATTTTTGTGAGGATCAATTAAGGATTACTTTGTAAACCATAAAGTTCTATAAATATTAGCTACTATGGTTATTACTATGATCATATTTACCAATCTTAACTCTGAAATTCCTAAGCTGCTTGTAGCCAAGGTCTTATACCCAAGCCCTTCCACCTGATAATCAGTACAGTGCAAAGCACAGAAGATACAATGCTCAACAAATACCTGCTAGATTGGATGGAAAAAATGATGTGTGGAAAAAGATGAAGGAAATCTTTACTGGGGGTGGGGTGGAGGACTGTTTAAGTTATTCAGAAGAAAAGTTATTTTTCACAAAAAGAAAGTTTTACCCTTTATTGCCTTATAATGTCTTTAAACATCATTCTGACCACTCTTTCAATCTATCCTATCACTGCAATATACATGTACACACACATCATAAAAATATAGTCATCTAGTTCAACTTCATTTTATACAACATATACATTTTACACATCATTAAAATACATTTTACACATCATACACATATGTACACATATCACATACGTAGGTATATATGTGGTGTGTGTACATGGACTATATATTTATGTGTGTGTGCATATATGATACATGTATATATTAAATATTATCCTTATATATACATCATATATGAATTGAAATAATCATTGATTCTCTTTTTAAAATTGATTCTATTTATAGTTAATTGATTTTGTCCTATAGCTGTCTAAGTCATGATTCTCTGTCTCTGAACTTAATTCAGGAATCCAGCTGGCCTGTAATGAGTTAAGTTTAGAAATCCAATACTCCTGTTAATTATTGTTCTATTCTTGTGTCAAGGAAATCTGTTACCCTCGAAGGAGGCATGCAGGCACCAAAAAGTATAGTCAAGTATCTTTTACATCACCCAGCTTTCCTTCAATTATATCTAGTTTGTCATCCAAAGAATCTCAGTCCTTGCAGATACAGCTGGATTCAAACAGTGACATTTCTTAGTGACAGAAGGGAAGGAGGGGGTTGTTGTTAGCCCTCATTTCCAATCCCAACTAATCATATTTTCTTCCATCTACGATGCTAGCCTTCCTATTTTCTGCACTCCCCAGAACTATAAAAGAGAATTATTCCCCTCATTCAGGGTCTTAGCTTTGCTGGGGAAGCTGAGATCCT